TAGACAAGTTGGATCACAAAAGTGGGCCACACAACAAGTAAAGCATATTAACCAAACACCAGCCAGAGTGGTCCACACCAGTGAACGACTGAGTTTCCATGATTTTCGTTTGCTGATTTGTGACACACGTATCTTTGTACATTAATTTAAAGGCTGAAGCGTGATTACCTAGCTACATGTGGTAAAATCACCTTATAGATATTTTCTGTGATGAAACAAGATGAGTGAGGGTGGATAGATAAGAGAATACTGTACTGTAAACCTCACTTTTGTCTGTCGTCATAGTTCAGTGACCCATGACTTTGAAAGTTTCATATTAATAAATAATTTCTAAAACCATTGTTTTAATAGCTTTTTATTATCCTAATTAAACTAAACTAAATAAAACCAAAAATATACTGTAATATGATAGACATCTGCTTTTTGAGAAATTACTGCATGTTATTGGAACAACTCTAGCGTGAGTGAGTGGACGAGTCTAATCCTTGTACACACAGCACCATGCAAGTTTCGTTCGATTTCGTCGCTACAGTTCAGTGACTACGGCCTCGAAATAATAAAATTAATAAATCAGTTCTAAAGTAAGTTTTTTATATCTTTTATTATCCTCCATCTTATTATCCCTCCCTCTCTCCATCCATCCCTCCCTCCCTCCCTCCCTCCCTCCCTCTCTCCATCCATCCCTTCCTCCCTCCTCTCCCTTCCTCCCTCCCTCCCTCTCTCCATCCTTCCTTCCCTCCTTCCCTCCCTCCCTCCCTCCCTCCCTCCCTCCCTCCCTCCCTCCCTCCCTCCCTCCCTCCCTCCCCCTCCCTCCCTCCCTCTCTCCATCCCTCCCTCCCTCCCTTTCTCCCTCTCTCCATCCCTCCTCCTTCCCTCTCTCCCTCCCTCCCTCTCTCTTTCTCCCTGTCTCCATCCATCCCCCTTTCTCCCTCCATCCATCTAGAATTTAAGAAACAAATCAAGTTAAAAAAAAAGTTAAGGGAGGGTCAAGTGATTAGGGCTATCAGTAAGCTGGTCCCTTCACCACCACCGACACCCCTCCCCCCTCCCACCCTTCCTCTACAGCCCACACACACACTCTCTCGACTGCTTCACCTCAACTCAACACCCATACCTCCATCGCTCCCTCCCTCAAATCATCCATTCATCCCTCAATCCATCCATTCATTCATTCCTCCATCCTTCCATCAATCCATCTCCATCCTCTCCTTCCCAGCCTCTGCTTGCCTGCCTCTCTCCCAAGCTCTGCCTATCTGCCTCCCTCCCAAGCTTTGCCTGCCTGCCTCCCTCCCAAGCTCTGCCTGCCTGCCTCCCTTCCTCCCAAGCTCTGCCTGCCTGCCTGCCTCCTTCCCTGCCTGCCTGCCTCCCTCCCAAGCTCTGCCTGCCTGTCTCCCTCCGTGCCTGCCTCTCTCCATGCCTGCCATCCTCCCTCCCTCCCTGCCTCCCTGCTTCCCTCCCAAGCTCTGCCTGCCTGCTTCCCTCCCTCCCTCCCTGCCTACATCCCAGCCTCCCTTCCTGCCTGCTTCAGTCTCTGCCTCTTCCTGCTTGCCTGCCTACATTTCAGCCTCTCCATCCCTGCCTGTCAGCCCATCCACCCACCGGTCAGCCATCACGACACAATGAGTGCATTTGGAGCCGACATGGTGCACGGATGTTCCTTGATTGTGCAGATATGTCCAACAAAGTCACAGAATGAACACTCCAGTCTCTTGACAAATCAAAACAGTGTTAAAATTAAAGTTGCAATAATTTTAGTGTACAATAGTGTTCATAAACTGTATTGTAGTACTCAACATACAGCAGAACTACTCAAAACAGTGCTAACGGCATAATACTCTACAGTATGTATTTACCATACAGCATTCACAACTCCATGACACTTCAAGATGGACATAACTCTAACAATAAGGTAGTGCATGGAAATGCAAAGGGGTCACGATACAATACGACAAGCAATTACAGAAACAGTTAAATACTAAATCTGCTGTAAAAACAAAGTAATTATAGCAAAACACAGGAATAAAAGCAAATACACATACAATAGTAACAAATTAGAAGTAAAATAAGGATCCTGTAGAAAGCCAGGAAGGATACAGAAGTTAGGTACTTAACTCCTGCTAACTCCTCTGATGTTGATGAGGTAATCCTTTCCCTTAAAACTAAGTCAAGTGCCCTTGATGAGATACTATCTCTAATTTACAAAAAAGCCTCCAGATCTCTAGCTACTGCCATTGAATTGCTCTTCAACAAATCACTTGAACTCCAAACGTTCCCGGATATTCTAAATAAAGCGAGAGTAACCCCAGTCCTTAAATGTGGTGATCTCACTGAAGTCAACAATTACAGACCTATATCATTTCTACCAACCTTCAAATGTTGAAAAATTCAAATGTTTATTCAGGTAAAGTACATACATACAAGGTGAGATACAAACATTGATGGATTTATAGATACAGCTAGCACATACAATGCCTAAAGCCACTATTACGCAAAGCGTTTTGGGCAGAAATAACACTAAGACTAAAACTTAATACTAATTGAGATTACAGTATAAATTGTGTTGAGAAAATATAATAATAAAAAAGGGGGAACATGGCAGAAAAATAGAATATATACCATTTGGTCGACAAACAGCAGTGTTTAAAATAGCAGACATGGGTTGACATTTAGAGTTAAGGTAGGTTACATGGAGTTAATTAGGTAGTGCTTAGTTTTTATCTTGAACTGGTTGGGAGAGGTACAGTCTTTAACATGATTGGGAAGGTCATTCCACATTCTGGGTCCCTTGATTTGTAGAACATTTCTACTTTGATTAAGTCGTACTCTTGGAATATCAAAAAGGTATTTGTTTATCTTGAGATTATCTTGAGGTTATCTTGATTATCTTGAGATGATTTTGGGGCTTTTCAGTGTCCCCGCGGCCCGGTCCTCAACCAGGCCTCCACCCCCAGGAAGCAGACGTGACAGCTGACTAACACCCAGGTACCTATTTTACTGCTAGGTAACAGGGGTATAGGGTGAAAGAAACTCTGCCCATTGTTTCTCGCCGGCGCATGGGATTGAACCCAGGACCACAGGATCACAAGTCCAGTGTGCTGTCTGCTCGGCCGACCGGCTCCCTTTTTTCAAGTTTCTGGTGTGGTGCTCATGGGTTCTGTTACAACCTTCTAGGAAGCTTTTAAGGTCAGGATTGACATTACAGTTCAGCATTTTATATATATATAATACACATGAGAGGATGTGCAGTGACTTAATATCTAACATATTCAGAGATATCAAAAATAAAATGTCAAAATGTCACGTTGTCAAAATTATTTGAAAAGTTAATCTACAAGCAGCTTTACTCTTATCTAGCCAAGCACAATATACTTAGCTCTTGCCAATATGGTTTTCAGACCGAATGAAAGCACTAACAATGCACTGATTAGTAAGATTAACTTGATACATACAGCTCTTGATAAAAATGAGTTCCCTGTTGGGTTATTTGTGAACCTACAGAAGGCTTTTGACACTGTCAACCACCAAAACCTTCTTCTTAAATTACATCATTATGGAGTCAGAGGACACTCCCTGCAATACCTTCAATCTTACCTTACTGACAGGCTCCTGTATGTTACTGTGAATAATTAAATTTCTCCAACACTACCCATAAACATTGGTGTTCCACAAGGCAACATACTTGGCCCTCTCCTCTTTTTCATCTACATTAATGACCTTCCAAATGCCTTACAACATCTCAAACCAATCTTATTTGCTGATGACACAACCTTCATTTCCTCCAGTCCTGACCTTCTTGCTGTAAATGTCACAGAGAATACTGAACTAAACAAAGTCCATCTTTGGCTAACTGCTAACAAACTCACCCTTAACATTGACAAAACTTTCTATATTTTGTTTGGTAATGAATCCTCAAATGAAATTAATCTAAGAATAAACAATATCCAAATTAGTAACAAAGTTGATGGTAAATTCCTTGGTATTCTCATGATAAACTGAATTTCCAGGGGACACATTCTAAATATAGCAAAAAGTTTCTAAAACTGTTGGCATTCTTTCTAAGATCAGATATTTTGTACGTTGCCCTGCCCTGATGACACTCTATTACTCCCTCATCTATCCTTATCTCAACTATGGTATTTGTGCTTGGGGTTCTGCTACCCAACATCATTTATGTCCTCTAATTACTCAACACAAAGCTGCTATTAGGACAATATCCAACTCTGGCCCCTGACATCACTCGGTACCCCTACTCAAATCTCTGAATATGTTAGATATTAAGTCACTGCACATCCTCTCATGTGTATTCTATATATTTAAAACTCTGAACTGTAATGTTAATCATGACCTTAAAAGCTTCTTAGAAGGTTGTAACAGAACCCATGAGCACCAGACCAGAAAACAAATACCTATTTGATATCCCAAGAATACGACTTAATCAAACTAGAAGTGCTCTACAAATCAAAGGACCCAGAATATGGAATGACCTTCCCAATCATGTCAAAGACTGTACCTCTCTCAACCAGTTTAAGATAAAAATTAAAAACTACCTAATAAACTCCACATAACCTACCTTACCCCTAAATGTCAACCCATGTCTTACTATTGTAATCATTGCTGTTTGTTGACCGACTTGTATAATTGCTATTCTCTGCCTTGTTCCCCCCCTTTTTTATTTTATATTTCTTCAACAATTTATACTTTAAGCTCAATTATTATTAAGTTTTACTCCAAGTGTTTTTTTCCTCACCTTGCCCGAAACTCTATGCGTATTAGTGGCTTTAGGTATTGTATGTACTAGCTCTATCTATAAATCCAACATTATGTTTGTAACTCATCATCTATGTATGTACTTTTACCTGAATAAACATTTGAATTTGAATTATATATGAACGGAGGGAAAATAACAGAAGAAATTGTGAGAGAATTCAAAGCATATTTTCATTCTTATGGAACTATTACAAAGTTCTCAAGACAAAACAATAACAAACAATCTTACTCACCTACCACACCAATTGTTGGTGGGTAAATAAGCAGAAGTCTTGAATGAGTGAGGTTATGAGGCCAAGACTGTGAGAGCTCACAGCCAATGTTGACGTCTACGGCAGTGTTGCCACTTTCACAATGGACACACTGCTGGAAAATTTTAAAATCCCAAGAATTCCCCAGAATACCTTAACTGAGAGCCACAATTTCCCTAGCTTGTATCTGAGATTCTTGACCTAGATTCACGAAGCTCCATGTATTTCTTCGTAAGTAGCTTTGCTACGAAGGGGCCAGATTCACGAAGGTACTTACGAAGGTTTTTCTTCTTAGCTACGAATGTTTTCCTTCTTAGCGGCTACGTCGGTAGATACAAGACACTCTGTACACTGACAACATCGTACACTAATATTTGTACCACTCCAGACACCAGCTTTGGACGTTTCGCATATGTGTACGTGTTCAATATTAAAACGACAATATAATGTTATTAACAATTAAAATTTTCTACTTAACAGGCATATAGTTATTAAATGAAGTTTAGTGATGTAATAGACATAATCGGGCTTGGTAAGGACGCCGCCCGCCAGCGTAAACACAACACACCCGAATGCCCACAAACACGATATAACGCACAAAACACAACACTTTTGTCAGTTTTTGGATAAACTCCTTTTACATTTATTATGTGATAGATATACTTGTATATAATAAAAACTATTATAGGTAAGCGCCTAATATGTAATATTAATCAATAAAAACGAAGTCAGAAGCCACGTGCCTGTCTGTACATGTCTTTTTCTGACCAGGGGGAGAAAGATACTGGCAGTATGGGGCGTTAAAGTTTATTGAAGATTAAATTCTGCAGAACATGTAAATGTATAAAGTTCAAATATAAAGTAAGTAATTATATAAAGTTTATATTAAACACGGTTTATATTATAGGCTTATAACAAAGTTGATATTATTAAACTTAATATTGAACATGTAAATATATAAAGTTTCAAAATATATAATTTAAGGACTATATAACGTTTATATTAAAATATATAAAGTAATATATAAAGTAAGAATTAACAGTAACAATTCCAAGTCCGAGGACTAGATTTAACTTAAAAGGTACACCGTAGTAAGTATGAGACCTTAGCCTATAGTGACATGGAAACTAATTCTGCAGAAACCTAAAGGTTAACTGGTACTAGAATTAAGGCCGAGTGCAAATGTGTAGTAATTATATAACACTAGGATATAACAGGCAGGACACAAAGAATAACTAATAAGTGAGAGACCACATAACACGTAATGTACCCGGCCAAGAGGCCGTAAAAGACCTAATGGATAAGGAGAAGGGGGTGTGACTACAAGTAGGGCTTACTAGCACCTAGACTGGGCAAAGTATTAGCTGCGGACAGCGGGACACTTGGGGACCGGCGCTGCACCCCCCTTCCTACATGCAGTGGGGAGACAATCGGGACAACTGTGCAAAGCATGACGGGGGTACAAAAGCAGCCGCTTGCAAAGGGGGGGAGGGTGGGGTTTTGCGAGGGCAGCGGCGAGGGCAGGCGGAGTGAGGCAGAGCCCCAGTGTGCGCCCGTATTTATACAGGCCCCAAACTGCCCGCGCAACGCCGCGGGACGCGCTGCGCAATTGTTTCCTTCTCCCCCGCCAGAAAAATCCCCGCTTGCGATCAAGCAGTGACCATTTGTGTAAAAGTACCCCTACTCAAATCTCTGAATATGTTAGATATTAAGTCACTGCACATTCTCTCATGTGTATTATACATATATAAAACGCTGAACTGTAATGCCAATCCTGACCTCAAAAGATTCATTGAAGGTTGTAACAGAACCCATGAGCACCATACCAGAAATAAATACAGTTTTGATATCCCTAGAGTACGACTTAATCAAACTAGAAATGCTCTTCAAATCAAGGGACCCAGAATGTGGAATGACCTTCCCAACCATGTTAAAGACTGTACCTCTCTCAACCAGTTTAAGATAAAAACGAAGCACTACCTAATAAATTCCCTGTAACCTACCTTAATTACCCCTCTGTTGTCAACCCATGTCTGGTTTTTTTTCAAAACAACGCTGTTTGAATGTAATTGTCTGTAATAATTTGTAATTGTATTTGTGCTGCTTTTTCAGCCATGTTCCCCCTCTTTTACCTCTATTTTTATTTGTTCTTGTTACGGCCCTGGGTTCCTCAGTGGAAACTCGAGGTCAAAATTGAACTAAATAAGCTACGTTAGATTAGCAAAGCGCAACTCGATGTTTCTTTGTTTGTATCTTCCCTGCCAGATGTAAGACTATTCTTGTTTCTCAAAGAGCATTTAATGACTGATCGAGCTTGGGGTTGATTATTAAATAATAACATAGGCACCAACTATGTTTACTAATACTTTAATCATTTGTAAAGTAACAATATGTTGCATAGGGGAAGATTTTTAATGTGCTTAGCTGTACGATTAATTAGGCTCGATCCTTCCGGCACCACCACATGCGGGAGGCCTAAGCTGGTCCCTGGGAGCGTTCTTCTGCTGGCTGGCGTTCGTGGGGACGAGACCTACTCTGTGGCTGCACCCCTACTCTCCTCCCTTCTCCTCTTACTTATTTCCCTTACCTTAAATTCCTGTACCATTAAGTTAAGTATGGTGTTTTAAGTGTGCCTACTCTGGTAGTAACGATTGGTGAGACCTGGGGGTAGTATTTGCCAGTGTTTTGGGTACCCCTATGTGTTGTGTTTTGTATTAGGGTACCACGTGGTCTCACTACTCTAAGCTGCATCCAGCTTCAGTGCTTATCCAGTAGTACTTTACCCTAGCTTGTTCTCAGTGTAAACCTTGTATCCTGTCTAAGTGGACCAAGGCTTTTAACGTAAGATAGGGTGGTAAAGTTAATAATATTATTGTTATTGGTGTGAGTGTATATGGGGGGTTGTTAAGGGGTTAATAAATAAGTAAATTAGAACAGAGTATCCCTTCTTCCTGTGTGGGAGTGCATTGATCAACCCTTAGACTGACATAGTCTAGTAGCAAGTTATTATTACTGTGGATAGTTTATTTTGGGGGCCGGGCCTTTTAGCTCTCCCATATTTGATAACTCTGTTTTCTGAGGTTGGAAGAAAACGTGCTCAGATTGGGGACTTGTTTATTTTATAATGGTAAATAATAAATTAATATAATAAATTAATAAATAATAAATTAATTATTATTATATAATAAATAATAATAATAACAAATAGTATAATGATAAGCAATTATTTTTAATGAATCAAATAGCTAATTAGGATGAATGATAAATAATTATTGACTAGTGTATAACAATAAAGTATTAAGGAATAATTATAATGAATAATCCTTAATGATAAAGTAGAAAACAATTACAATTAATAACTACATCCATAGGTAGTAAATGAAAGTTGCATTAATTTAATTACACTAATTACAATTCATGGGAATATTTCTTAGCTATCTGCAGGCTTATCACTTTGGGGGTTCCAGCGGAGCACCCCCAAAGATACAGCAAATGCTTAGCATGCTAGAACAAGTGCCCCTTGAGCATGTCTGTGGGCCATCCCTTTCAAAAATAAAACAGAGGATGCAGAGGATCCCGGGAGGAGGGTGGGCGTTTTGTAAGAGAGCAGCTGCTGGCTTGTCAGGAAGAGGGCCACGCAATCTGCGTCCGGGTTTATATAACCTCGGGTCGTTGCGCGCGCAGCTTGGGGCGGTTAAAGTCAGCTTCCAGACATACGTTTTCTCTTCCACTCAGAAAACCCACCGTTTTGGGGAAAAACAGTGTTCTTTTTCTGAGGTTGGAAGAAAACGTGCTCAGATTGGGGACTTGTTTATTTTATAATGGTAAATAATAAATTAATATATAATAAATTAATAAATAATAAATTAATTATTATTATATAATAAATAATAATAAATAGTATAATGATAAGCAATTATTTTTAATGAATCAAATAGCTAATTAGGATGAATGATAAATAATTATTGACTAGTGCATAACAATAAAGTATTAAGGAATAATTATAATGAATAATCCTTAATGATAAAGTAGAAAACAATTACAAATAATAACTACATCCATAGGTAGTAAATGAAAGTTGCATTAATTTAATTACACTAATTACAATTCATGGGAATATTTCTTAGCTATCTGCAGGCTTATCACTTCGGGGGTTCCGGCGGAGCACCCCCAATCCCGCGAGGGCCAGCGGCGCGGAACCCCCAACCCCGAAGGGCAAACGCGGCGGCTGGCCGCTGTAACTAGGAATGTGTGTCGACCTCATGGGTGCAGTAGTCTGCCCTCGGGCTCCATCCCTTTTCCTTGTTCATCAATGGTGTACCTTTTGCGCCTTCCGTAGTCGGTTCTGGAAGTATTAAGGCAGTAAGGGTGGGCAGAAACGGGCATGCAGTATGAACGTGACGGGCAAGGAACCTACCCCTTAAGGGCACTGCTGGAATTAGTTTCTAAGAGGAGGGGGACATTTCCGGAAGCGAACTGGGCAAGTGTCATTAATGGATAAAGCCAGGGTGATACCCTGCAGAAACTCTGAAAAGGAACACTGGCACAGGGAATAGGTCGAGTGACTAGATGGGAAAGGAAGAGAAAAAGATCTTCCAGGAAACTAGTCTGTAGCGAAGTAAGGTAACTACCAAACCGAGCAGAACTTTAGCGGGAAAAAAAACCAGACAAGTAAAAAAGGTTGGGGAAACCAGTTACCGTATCTGGGTCAAGGGCAGAAGTTAATCCAGGGGGAGGGATCTAGCAATTAATAATTCATTTCAAAATAATCCAATAGAATAATATAAAACAATAGATCACAGCCTAACATAATCAATATTTATATGACCACTATGTATATAATATCAAATCAATATATAAATAAAACCATAAATCAAATATAAGAAACAGGTCTTAAGGCGTAACTGCAACATGTTTGCGTCCAGAGTGACACGAATTATAAGGATGGTAACCGAGTCCGTTACAGTGATCTCCATTGTATGTTGGCCTCCGAATTTACCAAGAGAAAATTTACACCACCATGGGAGGATTGTAATGTAGATGTAGTAATTACTCCCTTGCATAAGAAAAAAAGTATGTATGAAATAGGAGAGCTGAGGGCAACATATGATTGTATAATTAGAAAACTGCCTACGGAAAACACTCTACATGTATATTGTGATGGGTCAGTAGCTAGGGATGGGAAGGCAGGATGTGGAGTCTTGATCAGGGAGTACACTGACATCGGCACTGTAGATACTGTTATTGGACGCCGCTTAACTGACAATGTCTCTTCAACGCAGGCTGAACTCCAAGGAGTATTAGCAGGATTACAGGAAGTAGTCAAATGTGGTAAAAATGCTTGCTTCTTTATTGACAGCAGAGGAGCGTTAGAGTCTTTAAATAGCAGACGCCCAGTATATCAGAATATTGTGATAGAGTGTAGAGAGAATGTTAAGAG